AAAGATGTTCTCCAGACTGAGACGATTTTAACGGTGGTAAAATTATCAAAAACGGCCCAGCAGATCGTCCGCAATGGCTCTTCGAAATTTCAAAATGATTGTTTAATGGGCCGTTTTTGATAATTTTACACGGTTAGAATCGTCTCGACATGGAGAACAACTTTGTTAAAGTACAAAGAAAGGTTTACTTAGTACCAGGTCCAGTTCCGGTGCACTTTTTATTTTTTATTTTTTTTTACAAGGGGATGCGCGTTAATTCGGGACGCGCATGGGCGTTAATTCGAAGCTGCATATGCTATTTTTGAAGATCCTGATTTTCAAAATAACGCCCATGGGCGTTATTTCGCGCTTATACGGCCACCTAATTCCAAGCAGTAAGAAGAACAAATGGTGACCACCAAACCTAACGACGTTAAAAAAAAAATTATAGTTAGGTAGGTTGAATTACGATAATTTATGAATCCTAAATTAACGCGGATGAAATGAAAAGAGATTGATTTCATCAAATTTCACCAATTCACCATCAATTTCGCATATAGAGCACAAAATGATGTTGAATTGTTAAATTGATAATATGGAAGTTAAATCTTGAATATACGATAGATTAAGTGTTGGAGTTAAATCAAGATCTATTTTTACTGACTATATTGGCACTCAGTGTAATTGGAAAATAATAAGAGTGAAATGGATTGGGGGGTCAAGTTCAAGAGTTGGTGTGTCATAACACCGGTAATATCAAAAGTGTGATCAAGAATATAATAAAGAGTGTGATCAAGAACATGATCAAGAACGCGACCAAGAGTGTGATCAAGAACATGATCAAGAACGCGATCAAGAGTGTTATCAAGAACGTGATCAAGAACGCGATCAGGAACCGATCAAGAGTGTGATCAAGAACGCGATCAAGAACCGATCAAGAGTGTGAGATCAAGAACGTGATCAAGAACGTGATCAAGAACGCAATCAAGAACGCGATCAAGAACGTGATCAAGAATGCGATCAAGAGTGTGATCGAGAATGTGATCAAGAACGCGATCAAGAACGTGATCAAGAGCGTATGAAGACTTATGTAAACGCTTTCAAATTTGTGATACGTTTATTTCCTCGTAGACATAACATTTCACTGACAAAAATTCGCCGACATGTTTATTTCACCGATAATTATTTCGCCGACAAGTTTTATTTCACCGAAGCTTATTCATAGACAATTTTTTTTTTTTTTAATAAATTCCACTAACCTTAACTCTAATTCTAACCTGACCCTAACGACAATGACCAGAACTCTAATTCTAGCCTGATCCTAACGACAATGACCAGAACTCTAATTCTAACCTGATCCTAACGACAATGACCAGAACTCTAATTCTAACCTGATCTTAACGACAATGACCAGAACTCTAATTCTAACCTGATCCTAACG